GTTTTGCCATGAGACCAGAACTGGATGGTGCCCGGCTACCATTACCGAGCATTTTGATCAAAGATTCTATAGAAGAATCCTGACCAAAAGGGGGAAAATGTGGAACAGTACCTCAAATTTTCATGGACTCCAGACTTTCTGGAGCTATGGAGAGTGGATGAACCCCTGAAACTACTGCCCTGAGATAATCTTTAAACCTTAAACCAAATATATCCCCTGAAGTCATCTTAAAACCAAACAATAGTTTAGCTTAACTAGTAAAAAAGGTCTGTCTTGAGCATCGTGCTCTTTTAATAACTGTCAACAAAGGAACAAATTGACACCACCAACTTGAAAGATCCGATAGGAACCTTAGGGGGTGGTAAGTTTATGTTAATAAGGGAGGAACAACTCAGAAAAGGAGGGTGAGAATGGTTGCACAACTTGAAGAATGTAATCAATGTCACTAAATTGTACATGTAGAAACTGTTGAATTGGTGTATGTTTTGCTGAGTATATTCTCAACAACAACAACAAAATTAATAAAATTTAGAAGGAAGAACCTAGGTGCCCATCAACGGACAAATGGATAAACAAATTATGGTATATTCACACAACAGAATACTATGCAATGGTAAAGAATAATGATGCATCTGTGAAACTTCTCATAACATGGATGAATCTGGAAGGCATTACGCTGAGTGAAATTAGTCAGTCACAAAAGAACAAATATTGTAAAAGACCACTATTATAAGAACTCAAGAAAAGGTTTAAACACAGAAGAAAACATTTTTTGATGGTTACCAGGGTGGGGAGGGAGGGAGACGGGTCTTCACTAACTAGATAGTAAGCAAGAATTATCTTAGGTGAAGGGAGGGACAACACACACTACAGGGGAAGTAGGCACAACTAGACTAAACCAAAAGCTATGAAGTTTCCTGAATACAACCAAACACTTCGAGGTACAGAGTAGCAGGGGTGGGGGTCTGGGGACTATGGTTTTCAGGGGACATCTAGGTCAACTGGCATAATCAAGTTTATTCAGAAAATGTTCTTCATCCCACTTTGGTAAGTGGCGTCTGGGGTCTTAAAAGCTAGTGAGTGGCCATCTAAGATGCATTAACTGGTCCCAACTCACCTGGAGCAAAGGGAAATGAAGAACACCAAACACACAAGGAAAATATTAACCCAAGAGACAAAAAGGGCCACATAAACCAGAGACTCCATCAGTCTGAGACCAGAAGAACCAGATGACCACCAATGACTGGCCTGACAGGGAAAACAACAGAGAGTCCCTGACGGAGCAGGAGAAAAGTGGGGCGCAGAACTCAAATTCTAGTAAAAAGACCAGACTTAATGGTCTGACTGAGACTGGAGGGACCCCAGAAGACATGGCCCCTGGACTCTCTGTTAGCCCAAAACTAAAACTATTCCCAAGGCCAACTCTTCAGACAAAGATTAGACTGGACTAAAAGACATAAAATGATACTCGTGAAGAATGTGCTTCTTAGCTCAAGTAGATACATGAGTCTAAATGGCTAGCTCCTGTCCGGAGGAGAGACAAGGCAGAAAGGGACAGGAGTTGGTTGAATGGACACGGGGAATCTGGGGTGGAAAGGAGGAGTGTGCTGTCACAGTATGGGGAGTGCAACTAGGGTCACATAGCAGGGCGTGTATGAAGTTTTGTATGAGAAACTAACTTGAACTGTAAACTTTTGTTTAAAGCACAATAAAAAAAGAAAAAAATTAGAAGGAAGAAAAAAAAAAAAAAAAAAGACATACAATGGAATGTTACTCAGCCATAAAGAGAAATGAAGTCCTGATGTATGCCATAACATGGATGAACATGGAGGACATTATGCTGAGCGAAATAAGTCAGTTGCAAAAGGACAAATACTGCCCATCGACAGATGAATGGATAAACAAAATGTGGTACATGAGTACAATGGAATACTAGTCAGCCAGTAGGAGAAATGAAGTCTTGATACATGCTACAATATGGATGGAGCTTGAAGACATTATGCTTAGTGAAATAAGCCAATCACAAAAGGACAAATACTGTACGAGCTCACTTATATAAAAAGACAAGAAAAGGCAAATGTATAGAGAACAAAGTTTATTAGTGGTTATCAGGGGTGGGAGGGAGGTGAAAAGGTGGGTTAATGGTGATGTAAAAATCGAATTGATTAAGGGTAGGGTTGCACAGCCAATTATTGTAATTGCTACCAATAAGCTGTACACCTGTAAAAAAGTTGAATTGGCAAAAGTTGTGTGATAAATATATTTACAACAATGATAAAAAACAAAAGAATTAAAAAAAAAAAAAAAAGGACAAATACTGTATGGTCTCACTTATATGAAATAAGCATATATATAGAAACCAAAGATTACTAGTGGTTACCAGGGGTGGAAGGGAGAGGGAAAGGGGAAGCTTTGGCTTAGGAGGCACTGAGTTTACATTAATGGTGGTTGAGGCACTGAGTTTATATTAATGGTGGTGGAATAATTGGGAAAAGGATAACAAAAATGGCTGTATAACTTGAGAATATAATCAATGTCACTGAATTATACATGTAGAAATTCCTGAGTTGAAGTATGTTTTGTTGTGTGTATTTTCACAATAAAAAATAAAAATAATTAAATGAAAAAAAGTAAAGTGCAAAGTAGGGTAAAACAATCAAGCATATTTGCATTTGCTTGAATAGAGAAACTCTAGAAGGATACATTCTTCCGGTTTTTCAACCATGTAAGGTAATACCATTCAAAAAATAAATTTAAAAATAAGCTTTAATAATTAAAAAAAAGAATACTGCTAGTCTGGCTTCCATGCTGGTGAGCTATTCCACCTCCACCCATCCTTGAGCCCTCCAGGGGCCCTCCTGTGCTTGGGACTTACAGGGAAAACTAGAGTGAGTGATTCTGGAGAAAATGTGTGTGTGTGTGTGTGTGTGTGTGTATGCACTCAAAGGAGGGCAAGAGGAATCCTGGAAAAACAATAAGCTAGACACCAGCCAATGTGGGAGAACAGGGCCCTGCTCTGCCTGACAGTCAGTTGCTGTGGGTGTGGCTGTACAGTCAGGAAAACTTAGTCGAAATGACCCTTAGACTCCCCCCTGGCAGTGATGGCATGTAGCAGATAGCCAGTGTCCTTGGCGGGCATCTGGGGTCATGAGGATGGAGAATGCACACCTGTGAGCACCAGAAAGAGGCTCAGCCCAGGGAGGAGATGCTCACAGGAGGAGAGGCCCTGGGGTTGACTGAAGGCAGGCAACGCCCACCCCTCCAGCTCCTGCCTGGACATGAGGGTCTATGTGTGGGTGGGGAGAGGCAGTAGTATTCCCTGCACCATCAAAGGGGCTACAGAGAGCTGCTCTCTCTTCTGGAGATATAATTTGCCATTAATGAGGTTTCCAGATGCTTCCATTTTCATAGTAACTATAGCCAAGATCTCATCTACCTTTTGTTGCCTGCAACACCCCCTAAGACCTAGCGGATGGCCCACATGCACTGAGTGCTTGGTAGATGGCTGTAAACCACACCACAGCCTTTTCCATTCCTGCCCCACTCAGGTCTTGGAGCCAAGCTCAGGGCAAAGGGCAACTCTGCCATCTTCTGAGGGGCCATCTCTGCTCCCTGGGGAAACATCTGGAGGTTCCATTGGTTACCCTGTTGTGGTAGTATCCACCACCAGGGGGCGGGCTAGGCCATTTAAAACACCAGCAGGCACCAACTCCCAGGGGAGTACCTGGAGCTACTCCTGCTATCGGAGATGACAAAGCAACAGGTTTGTAAAAATAAAGGAAATGGGTGAAAAATGTAAGCAGCTCAGCAAGCTAAAAAAGTTGGACTTGATTCAGACTTTTTTTTTTTTTAAAAATATGATACTATTTCTAAAGGATCTCCAGTCCAGTCTATCATTCCCCTTAAATCTGTCTTCTCTCACAGCTTGTGTTTCCCAAGGAGGGGGACACGAACCCCTCTTCTTCCTCCCAGGGACCCAAAGGGCCACAAGGAACATGACATTGGCTAACATGGAATTGCTAGGGAAGACGGTCATGCCTTTTTCAATTCCATCTTCTCTCTTGCTGCCTGTGTCATTAACACCTCTCTAGTCTCCCACCTCCCTCAGAGGGACAGTGGGCAGGCCTCGGCCTAAGCACCGCAGCCAAGAGCAGCATCCAAGAGAATTCAACAGCCATGCTTTCTTTTCACTGGATTTATCTTTATAAATCTCTTTTATTAACGGGAAATGCTACTGGTTCTCCATTTAACTGATGGTATAAGGTTTCCTCTTAAATATATTCAAGTACAAAATCAAAAAGGCAGGCCACTTTAGAGAGAATGTCAAGAGCAGAGGTGGTCTGGCCCGGCAGCCATCATGCGGGTGTGCGATCAAGACCAGAATTAGGCATGTGCTCTGGCCCCTGCCCACCCCACGATCACTCTGAGCCCTGATCTGTGCATGGCACACCCGACTCAGGCCTCCTTGGCTCCCCACAGCCCTGGGGGCAGGTTTGTACTCCCTCCTGTCCTCCACCCACCGCCCCCCACCTGCTGTGCAGCACTTTCTCATGCTTCTGCAGCTCTCTTGACAGTGAATGACTTTCCCTCCACCTGCACCTGTCAGACCCCTGCTCATCCTTTAGGAATAAGCTAAAGCATTGCCTCCCTCATGAAGGTGGTCACCCAGAAGCCCAAGATCTGGGTGTGTGTGGCCCAGGAGGCCCCCACTGTACCCATGTGCACCTCCAAGACAGCACCTGACACCTTCGCGGTCACCTGTGTTGCGTGCAGTCCTCTGCGGACTAACACCCACCGAATGTCCCTCTGTGCAGGCGCCAGGTGCACGGGAGCCTGTCAGCCCTGCTTGCCCATCCTCCCCAGCACAAGGCTGTGCCCTTCAAGAGGGTTAAGACCTGTGTCTTATTCCTCTCAGACTCCATGCCCTGCAGGCACCTGGCTGAGAGTGAGAGCTAAGAGCGTGTGCATCCCCGAGCCTGGAGGCCCAGGAGACAGCTCACCTCGGAGGTTCTTGACAAAGTCCTCCAGCTTCATCTTACGCTCGGGCTTGACGTTGGGGCTGTACATGTCCGTGTTGAGCAGGATGATGGCGAAGGCCAGGATGAATATGGTGTCTGGGTTCCGGAACTGCCGCACTACCCCGGGGTTGCAGATGCAGTACCGCTGGCTGGGGTCCGGGGGAGAGGAGGAGGATCAGGGCCACTGCGGCAGGCTATGAGACTGCCTCCTCACACGTGAGCAGCCACCATGGCTCGGGCTCCAGCACTCACCAGCTGGGCAATCCCTGAGGCTGGTCATTTCCCTCTGAGTCAGTTCCTGCATCTGGTAAAAGGGTTAACCCCTGTCTGGCAGAGAGGAGGCCCTACTACCCATTTGCCCCTTCTTACTTTAGTTATAGCCCCACCCACCCAGGATGAGGACCACACTTCCCAGTCCCCCTCAGAGCTAGGGGTGACCATGTGACTACATGCTGGCCAATGGGATATGGGCAGATGCCACGAGGGCACCTTCAAGGCTGTGTCCTGAAAAGCCAGGGGTGTGCCCTCCACCCCTCTCCCCATTGCTCCACTCGTGGCTGGAACAGGAACGTGACAGTGGTTGTTGGTCCTGCCATCTGGGGCCTTGGGATGAAGAAGCGTAGGCCTTCTCCACACCAGCTCAGAGAGAAATGCACTTGTGCCTGGTTTAAGCCATTGTTACTGTGGGATCTTTGTTACAGCAACTGAACCAACAGCCTCACTAATATACCCTCCTCCCCGAGTCATACCACTTACTGTCCTCACTGCTTGAAATATACTACGCCCCGCCCCCCACGGTACCCCCTCTACCAGTGACCTCGTGCAGGGCAGAGTGAAAAGCAGCAGGGGCAGAGAAAACGAAGCAGGGCAGAGCTCCATGACCGAGGCTTAGCAGCAAGCAAGCAGCTGCCACCAAGCTCAGAAGATGTGGAGCTCCAACGCTCCAATTCAGTCCTCCCAACCCTTGGAGGCCCAGCTGAGTGCCGCCCCTCCAAGAAGCTTCCTGGGAGTAAGTAGCTGGACGTTCTTTCTCAGGGCCCTGGGGCTGTCCTCACTCCTCCTTGGCCCCGGAGGGCTAGGTCAGCAGCTGGCTGGTGGTTCATCCACCTCTAGCTGTTCACACCTCGCACAGAGCACTGAGGCTCCCACCTGGCCAAGGTGCACATATTCACTAAATGAGTGACTGCAAGACAACAGCTGGCATGGATTTCGGGTCACTATGCAGCAGGTGCTGGCCTAAGTGTGTCTACCTGTCCCAAGTCATTTAATCCTTCCACCACTCTCTAGGGTAGGTGCTATTATTAGCTTCATTTTATAGGTGAGGGAATGAGGCACAGAGAAGTGAAGTAACCAGTGCAAGATCACAGCTGGTAAGTAGTAGAGCTGGTGTTTGAACTAGGTACACAGCTTGTGCTCTGAGTCACTATGAGAGATGGCCTCTTGCGGATGAATAAACGAATGACTGTATGACTGGACTCATGAAATAAATAGATGGCTAATGAGGACTTGGAGGAAGACGAATGCTGTTCAAAAAACCTGGCTCCAACACTAACTAGCAGTCGTGACCATGGGCAAGCCCCTTAACCTTTTTTAATTTTAGTTTCTTCATCTGCAAAATTCAAAATTAGGGTAATAAGTGCCCCCTCCCCGCTGCCCCTGCCTGCTCTGGCCCTGCCCCATCCTGTAAGGAGCCAGCACAGTGCCTGGCATGCAGGACGGGCTGCTGTGATCACCCCCAGAACAACAGGCACAGACACCTGCTCTTCTTAGGTGAAGGGAACACAGTGGGGTTCAGCCTTGCCATAGGCTTCTGAGCCAGGAACGCTCTTCTCCCCTACCACTGCCCCCCACACCAGAGCCCCAAACCTGAAGGCCTCGATGAGCCGCTCCACTTTCTGCGCCTCCCCCTGGACGCGGATGTGAGCCTGGAATTTCCTGAGGGCTTCATCCAGCTCCATGGCTGAAAAGTCCATCTCGTCCACCACGCAGCTAGAACAGAGATAGCCTGTCACCTTCCTCCATCCACAGAGCCCCTCTGGCCTCCACTGCCACGAGGTGCCCACAGACCCCAGCCTCCAGTGAGGGGAGCCACACAGGGGCCCTCTTATCAGGAAGGGTCCCAGCTCAGCTTCCTCCACCCAGCAAAGCACAACACTTCAGAATACGGCTGAAAGATCCCCAGTGCCTCAGGGGGGTTCACAAACCCCTGGAAGCTGTAGGAAAATGTTTGGGCTTATATGTATATGTGCAGTTTGCTATTGAAGGGGCCAGAGCATAGGGTTAGGAGTGATGTATTCATTCTCGATAAGGGCCTATCTTGCAAAAACAAACATTTTTAAGTACAGAAGGTTATACCAGTCACATAACCTACATTACTGCACTCTGTTCTGTGAGGGAGGAAGAAGTATTCTCCCATTTTCAAGAAGAGGAAAAGAAGGTTCAGGGCACTACCCTTCATGGGCTCCCTCCGCTGGGGGTTATGGGCTTGGCTCACAAGCCGAGGCTGCCCCGAGGTTGTTGCAGGGCATGTGGGGAAGACAGAGGCAGGAACCATGCAGGACTATTTGCTGATCACCATCCCAGCAGCTGCCCTTAAGGGTGCCTGTGTGGTGGGTTGGGGGGAGTCTCGCTACTTCCTGAGGCCACTGCTATTTTCTGATCCACGGAGAACAATACATGGATTTCCTATGGACCCAGAGCCAGCTTGGAGGAGGTGGGGGCTGTGCGGTAGTGGCTGCAGGGGGAGAAGGGGAGGTGGTTAGACCGACACAGTCTTGGGCCATTGATTCAGTAAAGAGCTAATCCGCTTCCCCCTGAACCACCTCTTTACTCCATTGTTGGGGGTGGTGGGGGAGGCGGCAATCATCAGGCTAACAATGCAGTATGTTTTTCCAGATGAAGCAGGAACAGAAACGTTGAGCAAGGAGGAAGAAAGCCTAGGCCAGGCATGCTTGACCAAGGAAGGGCATGGACACTGTGCTGGGTGCTGCCACACGTCAGCTCCTGCCAAAGCCCCTGGCTCACTCAATCTTCATGTGTGTGTCTGAATGTGTGTTCATGTGGGGGTACAAGTGTGTGACTGAACAAGTCTGTGCATATGTGAGTCTGTGTGTGTAGGGGGACACCGGGTCATCTCCTTCCTACCTGGATCCTTGGTCTCCTCACCTGTGAAACAAAAAAGGACAAAAGCAACTGTCCACCTCCTCCCAGGGTAGCCTCAAAGATGGAATGGGGTACACGTGGCTGGGCTCTAGAACATGGCACTTATTATAAGATCATGCTCTCCAGAGATGTGCTGATCCAGGGGAGCCCTATACCCTCTCTGAGCCCCAGCTGCTCTCTCATTGCCGGTGAGCCTAAGAATCCCATCCCCACTGCCCCATGAGAGAACTGCAGGAGCTGGACCGAGGACGGGACTGCCAGTATTCATTCCTGATTAACCCTTCACTCTGCTTCGATGCCTGCTCCTGGCCTTCTGGCCTGGGGCTGCCATCTCAGGATGTAACTGCCTGTGTCTGCACTGTTTGGGCCAGAAGTATGCTCAAAGACAAGGCCTGGGAGTGTTCCCCAGACGCCTAACCCAGGGGACGCAGCTTTGGTTTTTGTGACATCCCTCTATGGGGTTACTGAGAGGGTTCTCATGAGGTAATGACACAGGGCCTGAGATCAGAGGCTGCTCAGTAAACAGAATTATCCTTCTGTGGTGGCCGTTCTACTCAGGAGAGTGTAAGGAGGAAAGGACTTTAGGTGCAAATGGAGAGGTTTAGGGTAGATCCGGGGCAGGACGTCTCAAAACCGTAAAGCCATTCCTAAAAGCTGGGAGATGAGAGGGCCTGGTCACCAGCTCTCTGGGCTGGCGGGGACACAGGATTGGGAGGTGAATTTTGGATGATGACCCCCATATCTCCCAACCAGGAGGGGCAAGAGAATGAGGTGGGGCAGAACTCCGGCTGTGGCTGAGCTCTGGCCTTCGGGCTGCCTGCCCCTGGGAGGCATCGGGGTCAGAGTGGCCTGGCTTCCCTCCTGTCCTCCCTGACAGCAGGGCAGGCACAGGGCAATGGGATATCAGCTCACACTGAGAAGGACAGCCAGGCCAGAGAGAGGAAGCTCCAGACCTCCGGGCTACCTCCTCCTGTGAGCGCTGCCACGTGCAGCCACATGAATGTGGGTCAGTGAGGGCAATAATCCCCTAAGCGCTTGGACCGACTGTGCTGCAGAGGATCCAGGTCTCTGGGGGTGCGTGCAGGTGGAGGGAGGGAGGGTTGTGTCAGTGTGTGTGAGACACAGGCTGCATCCAATGGTAGGTGCCCACGTGTGTGCATGGCAAGGCATGAGTGTGTAACATGGAGCGTGAGGGCATCCAGAAGTGTGTGTCTAGGAGCAAGGAGGAGATGGGGGAGTCCATGTATGTTGCAGCAAACAGCGTCCTAGCACTGTGTACATGACTGTGGTCTGTACAAAGTTCAGACGGTGAGTGTGCAGAGGGAACAGAAAGGGCAGGACAGGGTGCTGCCTGTGTGAAGTGCCTGTGCGCGACTACGCACTGTGACGGCACGTGAGTGTGCATGGCATGTGGGGTGTGTGAGTCTGTGCTGTGACAGCGTGTACCCTGCGTGTGTGAAAAGAGGTCACGGGGCCTGTGACAGGCCTCGTTACCTGCACCCTGCTGCCCTGCACCCAAGAACTCACTCAAGCACATCGCGGTTGAACTGCTTCTGTCGGTTGCCCAGGAATTCGCCAATCATCTGCCGGCTGAGGCCTTTGCGCTGCAGCAGAAAGTGGGCCACCCCCACCGGCGTGTCTGGCACAAAGCCACGTTCGATGAGGTACTGGACTCCCTTCTCGGGCTTCCTGAGGGTAGAATGAGAAATAGCCTCAGCCCCAGCGACCCAGGCCCCCAGTTCCATCCCTTGTCATGTAACCCTGCCTGGTTCCGTGTGGTCTCTACTATGGTGGTTGAGGTCCTCCCTCCCTATCCCCCTGCACCCACCACCCCTTGTCCCTGTTCCTCCTCATCCACAGCATTCAAGGATGTCAAGGTACATCTCCCAAGGGCCCCAGGCACCCTGTCCTTTCCTGCTTCCAAGCCCACAGCATAGGGAGAGCTGGGAGCAAAAGCCTTCACACAGATTTGCCTACACCGGGTGAGGGCACTGCCTTGCCGTCCTGAGGTGGGGCTGGGGGGCTCAGGAGCACTTCCTGGTACTCCCTGCACAGCAGCCCCTTGCTCGGTTCTGGTGGCTCACCTGCTGCACCCTCCTCTGCTGCCTGTGGCCCCAAACACCCTCTTGCGCATACAGACAACCTCCCTTCCCAGCTGAACTTGATGCTCACCTCCGCGCAGAAGCCAGTAAGCACAAGCTGGCGAGCTGCTCCACCTCTATAGGAAATAATGATAACCACTACCACTACCATCTACTGAACACTTACTCAGTGTCGGCCAGTGTTCTAAGCACGTCACATGCGCTTATTTATTTAAGGCTCACAACACCCTCTGGGATGGGTACTCGAGTTACCTGTGGTGGTTAGAAGTACATACTCAGGAGCCAGACAGCTGAGCAAACCTGGGCAATGGCCTTAACTTCCTTTTGTGGGTTAAACTGTGTCCCCCACAAAAGATATGTTGACCTTATTTATAAATAGGGTCTTTGCAGATACAATCAAATTAAGAGGGTCTTTGCAGATGCAATCAAGTTAAGATGAGGTCATACTGGAGTAGAGCAGGCCCTAATCCAATATGACTAGCATCCTTATAGGAAGAGGAGAGGCACAGAGACAGATACACGGAGAACGCCATGTGATGATGGAGGCCAAGATGGGAATAACAGATGCATCTACAAGCCAAGGAACACCAAGGATTGCCAGCAACCAATCCTTGGAAGCGGCAAAGAAGGATTTTTCCCTTGAGCCTTCAGAGAGATCATGGCCCTGCTGACACCTTGATTTCAGACTTCTGGCTTCCAGAACTGATAGAGAATAAATTTCTGTTGTTTTAAGCCACCCACATTGTAGTACTTTGTTACAGCAGTCCTAGGAAATGAATATCCTTCTCTTATTGAAAGGATTTAATGAGTGACTACAGTTAAGTGTTTTGAACAATGCAGGTAACAAGCACCATGAAAGGTTCTTGTGCTTATCTATTTACAGGCAAGGTAATGGATGCACAGAGAGGTAAACTGACTAGCCCTAGGTCACGGCACTGGCTCAGCTTGGGAAGTCAAGAGGGCTGGCCCTGCAGGGCTGAGTGGTGTCCATTGGGAAGAGAGGACATTGCTGGCCTGTCCTCTGGCACTGACAGCCCAGGTCTTTTTTGCTAGTGTGAGCCTCCTTATCCCCCCACAATCTGTGTAGGGCACAGCCCAGGTGTGTGATACACACTACAGGCTGAGGAAGGACATTCTCCACCTCTGGACCTGGCCACATAACAAGGGAGTCAGGTCCCCTGCCCCAGCTGGTATAGGTCAGTGCTCTCCTGTCCCCGGGGGAGGTTCAGCTAGTATCCACCTGTCCCCTAGACCTGCAGCTCCTGGCAGACAGCTGTGGCCTGCAGATCCTGTGTTTCTATGTACAAACAAAAGCATAACTCCTACCCCAAATGACCACACACCGTAACCTAATCCTCTGCAGCTCAGCAGGGAGCAGCTGCTGCCCAGCTTGCTCCCAGCAAGGAGGCTGGTAACAGAGTGGCCCTGCTCCCCACCACTGCCGGGGCCCTGGGACTGTCTATACACCTGCCGCTCCCTGCAACTATGGAGTCCTCAGCCAAGAACTCCTCTGACTCCTCAGGCCTCTCCCAGCCTCTCTGCCTCCAGTGCCGATGCCGTGGCCCCGGACGATGCCTCCTCACCACCACAACCCACACTGGCCCCTCAGAGCCAGCCCTGCCACCTCTCTCCTCCTCAGCTTCTACGTGAGGGGCCACAACTGCTGGCCCACAGGTGTGTTTGCTTCGGCCCACACAATGTTAAAAAAATAATTCTAATAATTCTAATTAGTTGCCAACATTTAAATGTTGGGAGAGTGTGCATGAAATTCGGATTTCCAGCTCCTCTTGGAGAATCAAGATAATCTGGCACCCCAGGCTCGTGCTCTGCATGGCAAGGACTGGTGGGCTGGGCTAGGCCCCCACACATGAACCCTCTTCCATCACCCACCATACCCCCTAGGCCCGCTTAGCCCTTGAGGCCCCTGAAGAGCACCCCAGTCCAGGCCCAGCCAGAGCCTGCTTGTTCCTGCTCCCCAGGTGGACAGTTTCTTTCCCTTCTCTGGCTCCCTAGCCACTCCCTCTGTGTTTTAACTCGCCAACATCCTGCAGCATCATGGATAAGGGATATCTTGCCCTCGAGGAGCTCAGAGCATGGTGGGAAAGAGCACACATGGCTGCAGGGAAGGGAGCTGTTGGGGGCCATAGGAAAACGATTCTTCACTGATTGGAGAAGTCCCACGTGCTGCTTAGGCTGGGCCTACACATACAGTGCAGTAGCAGGCCGGGACCCATACGCTGAAGGCCAAGGGACTGGGTGATGGGGGGCAGTGGGGTAAGGAGGCTTCTGCAGGTAACACAGAGAGACCTTTTCTGTGCAGGTGACAGTGGAGGGCGACTGGACTGATCAGAGAGCTTTCTGGGTAGTGGTAACAGCAAATGTGAAGGCTCTGAGGTGGGAATGGGACTGGCGGAATAGACAGTAGGGATCTGGGAGTAGAGTCTGGGGGAGAGAGGTGGGCGGGTGGGCTGGACCACACAGCACCACAGGGCCACAGGGCCACAGGGCCACAGGGAGGAGTCTGGTCTTCTTTCGAGTGCGATGAGAAGCTGTGGGTGTGTTCTGAAAAGGGCAGTGATGGGATCTCATTTCCATTTTTAAGAAGTTCCCCCTGGCTGCTGTAGGGAGAACAGGGGCCAGGGTAGAAGCTAGGAGACAAGCCTCCTGCAACCAGGCAGGTAGGGTAGTGGAGCAGAGATGGGGAGAGGTGGTCAGTTTTAGGATAGTTTAAGGGTACAGCGGACAATATTTGCTGATGGATCCGTGTGTGTGTCCATGTGGGGGGTATGTGTACGTGGAGGGGGAGGTACAAAGAGGAACGAATCCAGGATGGCTCCAGCTTTCAGACCTGACTCAGATGTGGGAGGGATGATCGTTACCTGGTGGGCTCAGGTTGCCGATGAGAGGAATCTGAACTGACTGGGCCTTGACCAGTGACCAGGCACTCACCAAGCCACTGAGAGAGGGCACTGTGAGCAAAGGCAGGAGTCCAAGTAGAAGCCAGGCTGGGTGGGCAGCCTGGGGCAGCTGGGAGGGGCTGGGGGCCAGGGTCTGGTGGATCTGGCTGGCAATGGGGAGACTGAGAATGGCCATCTACAGAGGAGGGAACTGGGCATGGAAAGGACCTCCCTGGCAGCAAGCAGTAGTGGTGCCTGGGACACCTGCTGGCGTGAGTTCCCTGCCAGTCAGGGCTTACTGGCTCCATCTACCTCTCAGCTACCAAGTTCTTCCTGCCCCAAATTTGTTCTTGGTGGCCCTATGAGCTGTGAGCTCTAGATTCGCCCAGCTCCCTCCCAGCTCAGCACTAGCCCGACCTGCTGGCTGAAGGAATAGCTGCTAGGCCCTACACTATATCACGGTGCAGGGACACAGGAGGGCAAGTGGTCAGCGCTGCTCAGCAGGGCCCCCACCCTCCTCTGGGGGCAGGACTGCATTCCCTGCCCTGGAAGCAAGGTGTGGCAGTGAGCTATGAGCAGAGGTATGTATGCCACCTCCAGACAGGGGCTGTGCACAGTCCCCACAGCTCCTCCCTCACCACAGAGAACACGGAAGCCACACTGAGAGGGCACCTGTCGGCCTGGGTCCCCAAGACATTGTGATGAGCACAGCCCCCGCACACCTATGATGGGCATGTGGTGTGAGAGAGTAACTGCGCTATGCTAAGCCTTTGCAATGTGAGGTTGCTTGCCATGCAGCACAACGGAACCCATAAGGAGAGGGTTAGTCCCTGGCTGGGAGCTGGGTCACAGGGTTTCATGTTCTACCCCATAGGCACAGAGACAGTGGTGGGGCTGCTGGCACCCACCCAGCTGCAACTTTGCATTCTCTCCCTACTCAGGTGCCACAGGGCGACTGTAGGGGCATTTACTCCAGTCTGGCCTCCAAGGACCAAAGATAGCCCTCTGTGGGCCCTTGAAGGGCCCGACAAACACAAAAACAAGACATACTCTCATCTGGGGCTGGGGCACACGTGACTCGGAGAGGGCTGCACTACCCTGCATCACTAGGACTGTTTTCAAACCTTCCAAGGTCACCAATCCCCACAGGGTAAGTTCCAGGCTCCTGGCCCCTCTTATCTGCTTCTTCATTCCATAAATGTTTATCGAGCACCTTCTCAGGGCCAGGAGCTGTGCCAACGCACTGTGGTCCAAACAGAGTCCCCGTCCTCAAGAAACATGCATTCTAGCTGGAGATCTATAAAGGAGGGAGATCAAATTCAAGGATACTGAGATACATTACAGCATAATGGTCAGTGGCATGGATTCTGGAGCCAGAAGCCTGGGCTTAAATCCCAGCTCTGCTACTTGCTAGCTAGGTGACCTCAGGCAGGTTACTTTACCTCTCTGTATCTCAATTCCTGATTTGTACACACAACAGAGCTGTTGTGAAGATCAGATGAGCTAATATACATAAAGTGCTATGCCTCTAAGCACTCAAAAAGCATTGTTGGCTATAGAGAAGGACCAGTGCTGGCAGCCACCAAACGAGGTTGAGGCAACAGTGGCCTGAACCTTCGGGGAAGGGGGGAGGATGATTGACAAAGGCCTCCTTGAGGAAGTGGCACTGAGCCAGGCATAGAAAGGTCTG